CGCAGCTTGTTTCCTTCAAGTTTCTTCATAATTATCAATCTTCGAGGCTTTTAGATGACTCACTCTTACTTGTCGGAACTAAAAGTAACGATAGTCTTCGTTACACGTCCTGTACATCCTTCTTCTTCGCATCTGGATGGTTATCAGCGCTGATAACGCGTCTGGTCCTGTGTGCTTTCAATAATACTGCACTTCGCTGCATTTTGAACGGACACGCACAGAAATTGTAACCCAAAGGGCGAAACTCGAACGAAACGATCGCGATCTAGTTGTTTCGTCGCGCGAGACGTGTTCTTATGTTTGTTCGTGTAATGTGTAATGCAACCTAACCGTTGGGCTAACCTTTTGAAAAAGATTCGCAAATGAAACATGTTTAGAACGTTTCCCATGGACTCGATATGTTAAACAACGAAGACAGAAGCTTGGAGAACGTCGATGTAAAAACACCGAGTCCCTTGTCCTCTCTCGCTGGTATGAATTTACCATTATCACGGCCTCTTTCTATTTTTTTTTCCTCCGGTTGGTCGTCGAGTCATGGTTGTACTCGACGTAAACACAAATTTCTCGTTACGATTCTTGTAATGGAATAAAGAAAGTGACAAAGGTCGAATAGAACTCGTATTAAAAGGTGCGCTATTTCCACGGCTGATTAATTACTGTTTGAATAATGGAACGTAACGAGTAAGCAAACTACCAGTTTGTGTTTCATCCGCATTTATAACCTCTGTCATTTAATTAATTCCCTCGTTAAAGTAATTTCAAGGGATACTCTTTTCTTTTTATCGTTCGATGATGGTAATAATGGAGCGGTGTTTCGGGGTGATGTTAAATTTATTACCATACGACCCAGCAATTTTAACGACTAATGTCCAACTTTAAACGCTTAACGAATAAACAGTGGACGTAACCCTGATGGTGCAGATCGTTCGTTCAACGAAGAAGAAGAAGAAGACTCCGTGAAAAGCGGGAGCAGCTCTGGAGCAAGTTCTCCTTCCGATTTGAGAAAACGCCTTCAGTCTCTACCCTCGCCGAACGAACCTGCGTGCCTCGCGAGTCGCGTGATCAGCATCAGTCGCCGTCTTTCACGAAAACGAGATCTCTACTTCTACGGCACCACGAATCGCATCGAGGAGAACGACGAGAAAGAAGAGAAAGAGGAACAAGAGGAACGACCACCCCTGCCGAGGAAATTCTTCAGCGATTTGAAAACGAGGGACGCTCGAGCGCGCAGAAGAGCCAAGATACGTTTCGAAAGCTCAAGAGGTCAACCGATGGGTGTCTCCCACCCGAGCGAGGACAACGCTTCGGGGTTGAAGAGCAATTCTAACGACGAAACGTCAGCTAGAGGTTCGACAGAAAACAACCAGGAAATCTCTGTGCAATCGTTGCCTTCGGTGGTCGAAACGCCGCGAGATTGCTTGCAACGATACCCATCCATGTCAGCAAGAACCCCGACGATTCTTAGCCCTTATCGCGGTCGGTGCGTCGACAACGATTCGTCCAGATCGCAAGAAAATCGATCGTTGCTTCGGCTGTACTCGAACCTGTCCTCCGAGGACTCGCCAAAGGACAAAATCGAGTTGCAACCGCTTTCCCCGACTTCTTTGATCAACGTTCGACCCACGAAGTTCGGAGGATACAGACCTCGCGCTGGTGTGATTCTGCAGAATCTTAGTTCTGGCAGCGAACCGGAATCCAACCGTGAGACTGCGTCGGATAGGCTACGCGTTGCTCCGAAAACTGATCGCTCGATGGCAGATGTCGTTAATTTCAGTGGATCCTCCAACGTGTCCCCAGCTTCAGCCAACAAAAGCATTTCGAATTTCAACGATCGTCTGTCATCTGTGTTTCTGAGACTACCATCGACCACGCGTGAAGATTGCGACAACACGGTCCAGGACTCTTCGAGGACCGAAGACTTCAAGAACGTTGTCCCGTGCTCTGTTTCGAAAGTGAATCTAACCGTTGGCGACGAGTTGCCGAGTCTCTCTGGACGAAACGACCCTCAGAATTCTCTCAGACTCCTGGGAACGCAGAGGAGCGACTCTGTTCAATACGTGAAAGACAATTCTGGCAAAACAACGTTTCTCTCCGCGAGGAACGATACTCGCAAGAAACAACACTTACAGACACCTTCCTCTTTACTTGGAACGCAAGTTCGCAGCACGCGATCGAGGATTTCAGGAATCGAAGCTTCAGGTACTGCATGCTACAACGTGACTGATTTCGAAGAGAAAACACTGGGAAAATATTCGGGAAGCTTGCAGGATGAGAAAGAAACGACGAAGAATTACGAAGCTTTATCGTCGGATAGAAGTTTCAACGACTCCTCGCGTTCGCAGCGAATAGATGAAAACAGGACTGCGCCTTCGACGCCCGGGGATTCGATTTTTGGGCAGTCTTCGAAACCCTATTCTAGCAACAACTATGGTAGCAACAGGGAAATTAAGTCGCCTCGATCGGTGAGAATGTCTGAAGAAGTGGAAGACCATAGGAGCAATGAAGATATCTTCTCACAAACTTTGGCTAAGGATGACCAGGAACTGTTCGCAGAAACCAGTAACCCAAACTGTAACAGTCCCAAACGAAAGAAGTACGCAAACGTTCCCACTCTAGTTCTAAATTCTAGAGAAGCGTCTTACTCCGCGTCACCTGTCGCAAAGTCTCATTCGGAGAAGCGTTTGAACGCGAACGACTTGATAGAGGCGCTATCAAACGTGTCCTTAACGCAACAAACGGCGAACGACGCAAACGTTGGCAGCGAGCCTTGCAGCAACAGGAATACAGTCTCGAGGTCAGAATCATCGGGAAACAATGCAACGCCAGAGAAAAGTTTGTCTGTCAGATCTTCCATTAGCCTAAAGTCGAGGATACCTGTGAAGGTTTCTGGAGACAGAACTAGAATGTCACCGAACGAGGAACACCTAGTCCATTCGGACTCAATTTCGAGCAAGCAACCTAAAGACGCCGACAACCTCAGCTCGAGAACGAGGTCTATCGATTCTAAGACTTTCGACGTTTACTCGTATCGATTGGAGGAACATCAAGTTAAATCTTCGAGGCCTAACTACGAAGGTGACTTTCAAGAAAGGGTCATCGTGACAGCCAGGCCCAACTTGCTGCAGAATCGAATCGGAGACGGCCGTTCTCAGGACGCGTACATCGAGGAGTTGGACAAGTCGTCGTTCGAGGAGCCCTTGACTTCATCGCCAGAGGCGGAGAAAACTGCGAGGAATGACAAAACTGTCGACAGGATTCGGTTTTCCTTGGAGAGACTCGCAGCTGAACAATTCCGAAGGAACATCCACGCGGAACAGACGAGGACTATTCAGTCTGAGACTGTAGCTTATGCCACGGAGAAGTTCTACGAGACTCCTCCGTTTTCGCTGCAGCATTCCTCGTCGATGTCGAAGCTACGACATCCGTACGACTCTGCGAAAGATTCCCCAAGGTCAGAAACTTTGTATCGTTTCATTAGTTATTAAATAGAGAACTTTATAAGCCATGAATATCTTATTCAAACTGTATCGTCGCTTTAAATTCAGGAAGAAGAGCCAAGACCGTTTCCCGTTCACGATCTCGGAGAAGACCAGCGCGACCTCGATGAAGTTCAAAGTCCCTGGTCGACTCGAAAACGTAAACCAGGATGCAAACTCCCTCGACAGAACCTACAAGCTGGACATGCACCCAAGTCTAACCAGATTGGCTGGCTCTGGATTCGAGGACTCGCCAGCGGACCTCATCGACTACGTAGTCTACAACGAGCAGGAAGGTGCAGCTCGATCTTCAGGAATGAAAGGATTGGTGCAGAAGTTTTCTGCGAGGCTGAGGAGGTCGACCAAGAAGAAAACGACAACCGTAATCTACGAAAATCGCGCTTATCACGGAGATTCCTTGGTGGACAGCTGCTCGGAATCCTCTTTGATGAAGGAGTTTAAGATGTACGAGAATATGTTGCAGCAACGACGAGTACCTGGCGACTCTCCTGACGAGAAATCGTCGGCGATTCCTGAGAAAAACTCTCCGAACAGCGATGGCTCTGGGAACACGTCGAATTCCAAGCATCCCTGGAGACGACACGATCGGGAGGATCTATGGATCCAGGAGATCGAGGACCCTGACGGTAGACTAATTGCGCCACCTGAACGCAGTCCTTGGTTCTGCTTTTCTGGATTACCCGCCTTTCAGACCATTCGAGGTCATCGGATGGAAAAGTGGTGCCAAAAATCTCGTGCAGATGGCGTATATTTCCAAGCATGATCACAGTGTATACCGGATGCATAGCTCGTTAGATAAATAGTTGAGAATTATTCGATTGATGACCGACCTTGTTACAGAGACCCCGAAAAGCATCGAGAAGGATCCTTATTCGGTGTTCTTCGTGAAAAATGTTCGAGAAACACCTGAGACGTCTGGCAGACTGTCCTTGCCGAAGGATGAACCCAAGCAAGGTGGTTCGACGAATAAGAGAAATCGAGTCAAATTTCGCGGGAGTCCTGTAGGTGTGATCTCGGAAGTGACCAACGAAAACGTCCATAAAGAACCAATTAAAAGTAGAAACTTTGAGAGTACTAGGACCAACAGAAACGCGCAAAGCGGTTGTCTTTGCCTGCGGTTTTGTCGAATGATTATGCCTGATTCACTTGGTTCAGTTTTCAAATACCGATCGAGGATAAAACGTGGCAGTAGCTCTCCGATAAAGAAGAAAGTACGTCTAACGTTGAAGAGACGGAAGGGATGATGATCATTTACTGTTGTTCCTTGCGTTTCTTTTGCTATTGTAATATCAAGACAAAGTGTCTTCTTTGTCTTCTGTACATAATCGTGTTAATTTTAAGTTTTTGTCCTGACCTTTACCAGACCTCTGTTTGTATATACATACACGTATGTGATGATAGCTGTTGTAACGACCTTCCAATCGATTTCAAACATCGGTTACGTTGAGAATGCCCTTGCAATGATTAAAAAACTGTTCTTATCTTTAATAATAAAATCATGAATACTTGCTAACAGAAGTCTATATTCAAAATCAACAACACGAGTCGTGATAAATAAAGTGTATGCCGTCGTTCATATTCTTTATTTATACGTCGTTCGTACATATCTCATTTATTCTCAATAATAGTGTTGCACGCTTACTTCCATCTTTGTTCTTTTTTTTTTTTTTGTCTTCTTTTCTATTTTCATTTTTATTTCATACGAGTGAGAGTCTTTTACCGAAGATGCGCATTATCGAGTTCTTTTTTTATCGCCTTAATAAAGCGTTTCTTCGCTACGCTTTTAACTTATTATCGTTACCATTATAGAAAAAATAAGTCTTTAAATAATCACATAAGAGTCGCCGAGCCGGTTGAGAATCGTGGGTGAAGGGAAAAAGAGAGAACGTGTTTTGTATACATACATATTGTATACCATGCATGCATACGTGTATTTTGTCAACACACACATGTAAACGATTTCGTGTATATGTAAGTTTCGCGATGCTCGTGTGTGTGGTCGTGTGTGTATGGACGTGTGTGTCTGTGTATGAGCGTATCGTCGTGTGGTTTAAGTATCCAAGGAATAAGGTAACATTGTTTTCTGAAGTAACAGAGTTGATTGGCTCTATATGGTATTTTCGTTTATACCAGCTCTCTCGAAACAACGATGTCGCGCTAAGCCTAGAAAAAATCTATCTACCGAGAAGACCAGTCGTTTTCGCGTTAAAACTATACGAGGTACGCGTTATACGCGTTATTCCGCTACACGACTCAGAGGAGCTTTAATCGATTCGATGAAGGGAGGTGGTCAATGACCACCGAGACACCGGCGAAAAGGAGCATAAAGAAAATCAACGCTAAAGGCAATCGCGTTTCCGCGTTCTGCCTCGTGTACTCTTTTTTCCGGTGTTTCTAAAAAAGGAGAGGAAGCTCAGTCCCGCGGCATATGCCCCTACATGTTCACGCGCGTATACAGAGAGAAGCGATCAACACGCATGACGTCGTACATCGGTAATGGTATTTTTGTCTACCGTAGAGCAGAGATGAGCAACAATTCTTGTTTAACATGGAGGCTTTTGGGTGTAAGCCGTGTCCTTTCGATAACGCACGAATGAAACGAATAAAAACTGATTCGTCCAATTGTTCATTCGAATAAACAATGTTGAGAAAACATATCTCATTGCTATTTGTCTATTATTCCGGTGAAAATTTGCCCATCTGTGCCATAGAGGGGCTACATCGAAACGCTTGGTTATATATCGTATAGTCGCTAACTGTATACAGACCCTATAGCAGGATGGATCAGACAAAACGTTTGGTCCTATCCTCGCGCTTACAGGGACCTCATAAGTAAACAAAATACACAAGTTGTATGAAATAAGGAGAACATACAAGGTCTCTCACCTAACAGAACTGCCTGAAATATTTTCCCTATTCTATATAATTGCTAAGTTACATAGATGACATGTGTTCGCTACCTTATCTTCTCATTGTCTCATCCCTGTACAACAAAAACGAGGCAGATCCACCATATTTCTTAAATATAGAAAGTATTATTATATTTCAGACGATGAAGTTAAGTGGAACACCTTGCATCAAGTAAAGTAGAACCCAGTAGTCAGGGTCGGCTGTGTAATCTTTTGAGTCCAATACAAAAATAAACATATCAATTTCGATTACCGTATTATATCAATATGAAATGAAATTACGTCTATGAAGCCGACCCTGCTGATAGTCATCCATTTGCGGACAATTAATATTTGTTTCGCTCCGAACGACAGAAAGGGCAAACTTAAATCGATTTCCGGTGTTATGCTCGTGTATCGTGCTAATCGCCATCGCACGCGTGTGCCAAATTACTGTACGATATCGAGCACATTAGAAATCTACCTAATCTTAAAATTCAATCCTATCGCTTGTCGTAACGAAACATAATTTCTATATACAAATCTACTTAACCATGTTATTTAATTAATCGTCTGGAACAGATGAATAAAGCTTACTTCCTTCCTCTTTTAGAAACCCCGAAACAGCGTGTCTCTCGTTTGGCCGTTTGCTGTATGCACCGTTCAGCTTTTTATTCGAATTATCTTACGTCTTGTTCGCTCGCTCGTCGCCATCGTCGTCAAAGCTCGCACCATCGGGACGGGACTGGCTGGGGAAACGACGTCACAAGGGGGGTGGAATGGAAAACTCTTTTCGCACGTAGAACAGAATATAAGGTTTACACTTAGCGACTGCGTCTGTGGTTGCTGGTCGTACAGAGCTATCGTTAAAGTGAAACCATTGTCCATCGTGAACAGCGAAGGCAGTGTAATGTCCAGTTCCAGCACTAAAATAAATCAACATGTATCGTCAAAGAAGGTACGATTATTATACAATGTAAAGGAAAGAAACTTTTAGAATGTAAGAGTAGCAGAAGTATATAATATTCATATGTGCATGATTTCCACTTGAAATAAATCGTAAAATAGATCGCGAACTGAAAGTAAGGTTAACCGGCAACGTTTTATTTTCCTGAAAAGGCATACATATATTTTTATGAATATTGTTTTAGATGTATAATTATGCTTAATCGTGCGTTCATAGTACATATGTACTATTATGTACAGTACATATGGACTGCTGTAAATTTAAATACGTATTTACGTAGATTAGGTTTAGGAATGACATTTAAACTGCAACTCGTCCCATTGCTCGTTTGTGTTGTAGTATTATTATTATTATTATTATTATTATTATTATTATTATTAGCCTTAAAGGTATTTCATACTTAATCAAAATTATTTTTTAATATCACGGACCATCTGCATATTCAATTTTCAGAACAGACAACTTCAACCAATAGGATACCCCTTGAGAGTGACTGTAAAAATGATGCCAAACATACCCTGAACCATGGTGCACAATAACAGCAGCTAAGTCATACAGGTGACTATTTGAAGCACCCAACTTTGTTCCACTCATGCCACGAACAGTAAATGCAGACATATCGAGTGACTTCATCGGGAAATCCACTTGTGTATCCACCTTGGAGCGGTAAGAGTTGCACCACCTAAATCTTTTAATGTGAAGGCACAACACCTAAAATGAAGTTTCAGCATCAACCTCAATTGGAACCATCCACAAAATGTAACATCATGACTGTACCGAGTATTATTAATATTTTTTATAAAATAGATTGCTACTAACATTAGGCAGCCTGTGTATCCAGAACCTCTTGGTGGACCTTTGTTTTCCCATGCAGTTGTCGCAAAAGTAGAGCTCGCTATCGGCCAATTCCTCGTCTTTGAAGAATCTTGTCAGACTGTACGTGAGGCTGCAAACCTCTTCCTGTTCTTTCGTTCGTCTTTGCAGTCTGTCCGGTATATCCAATGAGAGATCCTGGAAGGGCTCGTGCGTCTTGGAATCTGTACGGCAGTTCATGCAATGGACCTGCGCGAGGAAACGCGATCCATAATTCGTCCGCGCTTCTCCCAAGAAGAAAATGAATAAAATGACTTTCCAAAAGAATGTTCATCGAGAAAAGACAACTCCCACCCGTCGTTTCGTACACAAGAATAATAAAATGCGACCGTTAACGTATCGAACATTGAAAATTTTTGTCGGACGATGCGGCGACTTACCACACTAAGAAGAGTGCCTCCGAACACAGCCGTGACGATGCTTTGCTTGCCGCGCAGACCTAGGGGCTCGTGTCCTAGTCTGGGCAGCAATTGCAACAGCTCCGTGTGTAGTCTATCGAGCATGTAGGTAAGAAACTCGTGGGCATCTTGCTGTTGGTAGCCCCGAAATCTTGGCACGACTTTCCAGATGACGAGGAAAAGACATTCGGGTGAGATCGCCTGGCCGTTCGAACCGCCGAGATTCAAGCCTAGAAGAACCTTTCTGAGCTCTTCGGCGAGCAAGGCGTCGCTCATGCTCAACTCTTTCGCCCGGCCAGGTGTGACGATACGACCCCTGTGAGTGGGTGATTCGTCGAAAGGTATACCCTCGAGACACGGCATCTGCGTGAGGTACTCGCAAAAGTGGCTGATGTTGTTGAACGATTGCAACACGACGTTCATGAAGCAGGTGTTTCCGAGATTTCTTAGACCGACGACCTTCTTCTCTTTGGTTATCTTGGAGCTCCTACGCTTAGTCGCCGGCCGATTGTCCCCACTCGTCCCATCCAGTGAATGTAGCCTCTTCCGTGCCGTCCTCGGTCGAAGGTTCCTCACGACCACTTCCGCTTTCCACAGGGCGTCCGCGTCGTTGTCGTTGTCGCTGTTCTCTCTCCTCGAGGATGGCGTCGTAGACGGTGACGTGTTCCAATTTTCCTCGTTCTCTTTGTGTTCATCCTTGCGGAAAGTGACGCGACGTATCTTCTCGATTTGTCCGTTCGTCGTGTCGTTAACGACGTACTCGTCGCACATGTAACTGAAAGCACATTTTTCGATCAGCAATGGAAGTTCAGGGTTGAAAGATAACAGGAAGATAGGTAGGAGGTACGCGGCTCCTAAGAGTACGCATGCTGGTTATTGTTTATTTAAACTGACAAGGTAAGATTATTGTTTCATTTCGTTTCGTTATCTGCTTTCTAAAGGTTTTGTCTGTTTCAGGTATTTTACAGTTCTTACATATAGTACTTGTCGTTGACTCTGTGGAATATATTTGGAAAGAGTATATTCTGTAACCGTTTTTCTAGAATCGAAGGGTTCGACTTACCAGAATACTGCCAGGTTCTCACAGTCGATGCAAACAGAGTGTTGAGTATTTTGTTCGTGATGCTGTAGAGCATGGCCCGACACGAATCTTCCGCAGTGAACGGCTCCGCAGTAGAGACAGAGCCACGTACTTTTCTCGGTGCCGCATACTACAATAATAAAATAGCGATTATTTGAACGGATTTCGAGAGTTTATAACAACAATCAATCGACTAGTTTCTAAGGACAGTCTGGAGTCTTTGATAAACAAATACAGGGTTCGAGATGGTTCATCGTTACGAATTAACGCAAATTCCAAAACGGTGCACCATCATTTTGGTTCACCTCGGCTTACGTAAGTCTCAAGAGAGAGCGTAAAACCAGGGTGAATGGATGGAAGGCTGTTCGACACACCCCCGTCGCAGTCGATCGATCGCGAAATGTCTCGCACTTCTATCGAGTTTGAGATTTGCACACTGCATTTTTTTATGCGTTTCTGCTTGGTACAGAGTGCAGGGCTCGAAAGTAATCGTTCTTTGAATTTAGGTTCGGTATCCTTGAAAATAGCGTACTTGAATAACATCGAAAATCGATGTCAATTGGTTAAATTGTTCATGAACCATCGAACACGTCAATTTGAAAAATGTGGAGCAAAGATGAACGCACGTAAAGTTTTGCGTAGGGCACCTGAAATAACAAACTGCGACGAATTGGACCTACGTCAGAGTAATAATTTATGTGAATAATGAAATGAGTCATTAGTATAATACGTTACAGTTACGTGTTAGAAGTACGTAGATGTTTTCTAACAGGTGACACGATTGGTAAGCGATGGATCCGAACAAAAAACAAATGAGACGAAAATGTGGAGTGACATTTTTTGGTACGAATCTTCATTTCTGAATAAATCAATGACGAGCATTCGTCGAGTACGCATGCACTTACACATAATCTCACACCTACGTCAAACAGATATCACTGCAGTGACTTTATTGTTGTTTCAATTTATTATATTAGAACGCATCTGGGGAATCGATGGACGTCATTTAAGTACAGATCTCGCAGATGTTTTCTCTTCGAATTCCTAACGATTTGTTTCCGTATGTTTATACGTTACGTTGCCTGATGTAAAACTATTTTTAGATGATGATATAAACATTGTACAGTGCGATAGAAAAAAAGAGGTAAAAGTTCTACAGAAAAAAACGTTATGACTGCTTGAAAATTGAGATGTTGGTTGCCCGCACGAAAAGTGCGAACTGTAATACGATCATCTGGAAGGTCGTTTCGAGGTAGATATACGTTTATTTCGCAATCATTCATAAGAAATGGTAATGCTTAAATTCTATTGAAAATATACATATGCTTGGAAAATATACATGAACGTATCGATGAAATTTAACTATACGTATTCCATAGGTCGAGAGTGTACTGCGATAAGTTTGTCAATGCTTGTGCGTTGCAAAAGAAAAAACTGGAAAACTGGAAAAAAAAGAGATCCGAAAGTGTAACCAAAGATATAGTCAAACGAGGTACGCATCTCTCCTTCGTTCCCTCGACTACTTTGGCCACCTTTCCATCTCTTTTCGCCTTGGTAACGAACGATTCGATTCGCCACGCCTACTGCACTTTTGCGTTCTTCAAGAATTTTGCGACGCATTGTTCGCGCAATGCACTAGATGAAGAGGAACGATCGACGAACGCAGAGGAGCGGTCCACTAGGCGCGAAAAAGGAAGGCAAGAAAGAAAAAAAATTTGTTCGAGCAATGTCACACTCGTATCGAGGCATCCGATTAGCAACGACGCCGTTATCGATTTTGCAACGTCGTACCCGAACCAGCTTGCAGCGCAGGAAAAGAGAGGCAGAAGAGGGGGAGAGGGAAGGTGTGGAACATGGGGTTCTTTTATAGCCCACGAGGGACGATTTTTCTCCTGTGCGACTCGTGGCGAGCAGCTTGGTAATTCTTACCAGCGTCGCTGCTCGCGAGAGACCACGGGGATATTTAAATTGATCTCGCAACTTGGATACGTTGCGATTCGTCGAGCGTGAACGATCTCTCGAGAGTAACGGTTGCAGACGACGAGTATCCAATAGAATTGTTTGAAACGTGTACGTATTCGCCATGTGTACCATCCGATCAAGTCAGGAAATCGACCATAATCTGAACGAGTTGAGCAATCGAACGTTCGCGAAAAAAAATCTTCCGCCTGACTCATCGTTGCTAGAGTACACTTCTGAAATGTTCTACGACTCTCTCCTCGACTATTTGTCTCGTTCCTCTGTTCCCCCACTCTTCTCGATTTTCTCTTTCTCCTTCCACACCAGTGGCGTAAGCAGAAATTCGAGGGACCAGCGTGCAAAAAACTTACGGCCTGTGCGCTTCTACAGGAAAGTTATTCCTTTCCTCTAGATCTGTTATGATGTTACAAGAGGATACAGCGGAATTTTTCACTAGAATTTTTTATCTAGATGATAATATTTCCCATCCCTGCTACGCACACGCTGCGTACCCTTACTTACGTCACTGCTTCTCACAGACACATCGAGCAAGATGGATATGTTTGGCGAAATTCATGTTCGTTTCTATTTCAAGGGTTACTCGAACGTTGAAAATCATATGGCGGAATAAACCGTGTTTCTTATTTACGTCATACGATCGACTCTTCTCGGACCTTCTCCACGGTTAAACGAGTCGAATCTCCACGTTTCGCAAAATCCGTTCAAGAGCGTGTCGATTGTAAGATACTTCTTCTGGACAGTTCTACCATAAGAGGTCGCTAAAAGAGAAAAGTCGCAATAGCTCAAATATCATCTACGAGTTCGCAAAGAACATTTGAATGTCGAATGGAGCTCGAAGAAAGAGGGGATTTAATGAGGAACAATAAAAGTATTGCGAATATTTTGGATAAATATAGTACTAGAGGCTGTGCAAACTGCAAAGAGAAAGGATAAAGACTGTCTGCGAAGGAGGAGAAAGCACATCGGAAATAAGGGTGAAACTATAAGGCAGCCTACAAGGCTGACATTTTTTCACCGATTTCGCATCTCCCGGCCAATGTATCTCGAGGAATCTCGGAGCAAGTCGCCGAGTGGAGATGGATAAAATAACGAAGAAAAACGAAAAACGGGTATATGTCCAAGAATCGACGAACACGTTTATCTGGCGAGTTCTAATGACAGATCTCGGGCCAGCTGATTAGTGCCGTCTGGTATTGATTTTCCAATGACGGCCGCGCCGCATACTGAGAACTCCCAGCAGGACGATGCACACAGCGCACGTCCACGACGCTCTTGTTCGGTCCGTAGAGAAACACCCATGAACGAAGGCACACACACACACACACACACATACACATACATACCAACTATATTTCGCACATATACGTATACTTCAAGGAGTGGACTTTCACGTACACCAACACACGCGCGTTCAACTTACTCGTATTTGCAAGTACGGACACATGTACACACACTCGCGTTTATATCGCGAAGAGGCACGTATATAATCGCACGATGAGTTCGATCCGCGATACACACGAACGAAGCACGTAGAGTTGTGCGTCTAGCCAAGTATCATCGATACCGTGTATATCAACTGTGAAAACAAAACTGATGTAAACCGTACGCGTTGTACCTTATTGCGAAATATGCGTTAGTTTTTAAAGGGAAAATAGAAATGGTTCGCTTCGTCTTGTCGACTACGACGGCTCAAGGCCGCGAGAGGAACGGCCGGGGCCTCGGTCATGAGAGGTAAAGAAGGAAAGAGCAACGTGAGGAACGAAGAAGGAGTAACGGATAAAGAACGCAGAAGAAAAGAGAGTAAAGGAAAATGGGAGACAATAGAGCGAAGGAAAGATCGAGATCGAGCGGCTAGGAAGAACGATCTGCAAAATAGAACTCAACCTGCGAAGAAAGGATCGGGTCAGAGGAATAGAGAGATTAGAGGCCCAGGGTTCCAGCCTCGAACGTAAGCTCCTCGAAGCTACTGTAAGAATAAAGGTCTGGGTTTTTGTGGGGTCCTACCTGCACAGACGAACGGTAGATCCTTTGTACAGCTTGCTTCTACGTCGTTACCACCGAATTGGACGCTTTGAGCAAGATGTGGACACTCCATGTTTTCCTAGGCACGACTCCACGGGGCCCTCGTGGCCCCTTCTTCGGCGAGTGCCTGCGTATGTACGTGCCTGCGTTTACAACGTGATCTTTCTGTCTCTCTCTCTCTTTGGGCAAAGGAGAGCTGTGGCAGGCAGAGGGATGGGGTGGGAATGATATAAAGAAATCGGGGTACGCTCGGTGCCCCGTAATATCCGTCACATAGCGCGAAAAGGGTACTTATTCGTTGTCCTTAACGAAAAAGAAAGGATGCAACTGATCTCGATGCGCAACGACGACGGACTGAGGAAAACGAGCAGACCGAAAAGAGCAGCGGAGCGCCCGACTGGCCCCGACTACCGACCGAACGCAACCGAGCTGCGTCGGGCTCGGTTCTGCGGTGGTCGGGCTACCTCCAGAGTCACAGACCACTAATAGTCGACTGACTCGCCGGTTGTACAGTCTCTCCTCCCTGCTCCCGAGAGTTCCAACATTCGCAGGCGTGCGATTACAACTACTCTCTTCGTTCCTCTCACTCTTTCTCCCGAACCTCGCTCGGTTGGCCAGGTTGTGCTAGGCTACCTAGCCTTGGATCGTGTTAGGTCGCGCAGTCTCCGAACAAGTTCCCAGGTCCGGCTCAAGCATGTGGGCGCCACTTGGGCGTTATTCCAATAATTTCCAAGCAATCTTCATCTAGATACTTATCTACAACACACTTTCGCTCGGGTAATACATCTGTGAGTAGGCATTATTCGTTAGCCGCGGTACTCGTCGGTGACGAATACAGTTTTATCTAGATAAAGAATTACTCGTTATCTAAAAAAAAATTGTACCCAACGCTGGTGGGAGCTTCGGAAGGGCGACGCATTTCACCATAATACGGACGCGGACGTATCGAGCGTGGTTTCTTGCGAAATATTTAAGGTTGCAGAAAGTATTAGACACGGAATCCTATCATCCTGACATTCGAGTCGGAGGAAAGCGTATCGTTGACGAATTCGATATCGAAGGATAGTATTGCGATACTTGTATATTTCAAAACGAATCCTGAAAGAAAAAGACAAACGGGACATTCACTGGATCTGTTATATGACGGACTAAAAACTGGTGGTGGAAGTTAAAAGAAAAAAAGACAAGAAATTGAACTATGTCACGATCTCACTCACTTTTTTTGTTGGGATAGGAAATAATATTGTAGCTCTATTCCGAGAATCGACGAGGTCAATAACTTGCCAAGTAGCTTTAAACATTTAATATCGCGATAATTAATGATTCGTACCTAGATAATATTATCTACGATATAAAAAAAGTTAAATGGCGTATTTGCATTAGTAATACATTTAATAACGCGTAATAATACTGTACATACGTCAACTTTTTCTAATCGTCGACAATCAAAATGGCTGAATTTTACGCATGCGTATTCCGATATTATCGAAAAAATATACGATAATGTGAAAATAAATATAATATGGTAGATAAACATAAAAGGAATATGAATTGTTTAGAATGTCAGCCTGCAATTTTATTGAAAAATGCAATGCTAGCAATCTTATTTAATACAAAGAATATTTTAAGAACGCCTGCTATATGGTGGTAGTTGAGATTGTGTGAGTTGGAGACCTGGAATGTTATTGAATCCAAGCATTTGTAACATTTCCTTAGTTTCTGGATCAACCTCGATGATATCGTGTTCCAGAGCAGAGACTTCGGGAACATAGTTGTCACGGCGTTCCCTCTCTTCTTCTTGCAATTTGATGGAAATACCACGGACCTGACTGTGTCTAAGACGCTTCATCAAATGCGTGACAAATCTGGTTCACAAACGTTAGAACGAACAGGTTACGAAATCAACGATTTAATTAATATACGACAAGGAAAGTACATTTTTAAAAAGGTACTTACCCAGCGATTTTGTTTCGCAAAGATTTACTCGGAATAATAGCTATTTCTTCGCATATCCTTTTATTTGTATGGAAGTCCATAGTCAATCGAGTATAGTATTTCTCGATGATGAGCTTGGCGGCCTTTTTGACCGTCTTGGTCCTGACGCGACTCTAGAATGATAAATATTCAAATTTTATACTCACGCATCTCTTAGATTAAACATCGTTTTCGCTCCTTTGTCACGTGTACAAAAAATATTCCAAGAACACTAGTTACACTTGCACATAACCTCAAACTTTGATATACAAATAGTTAACTGTTATATTGATTTATCCAGTAAATGTTTTAACTTTGGTATTTAATATATTTATTAACGTGTAGTTATGCAATTCGTTTCTAAATTTAACGACGGATTTCTACGATTTTCCTCGATTATTATTAGAATATATCGAAACATACGCACCATGATGGCTAGTGTACCGGAAAAGACATAAACCAAGATGGAAGAGAGATACTACCGCCACGTAACTATCAACAGGAGCGGCCATGCAAAGAATTAAATTAGGCTAGAGACATCTATAGATGGTTATGGTTTTTAGAAATTTCGTTTATATACAGATGGTAATGCGGATGAACAGAACACGAAACTAAAACTGATAGATAAATAATAGTTATTTATTAATTGTTACGCGAAATAATGTGACAGTATCATCAAACAATCGTTACTTATATTTCCAGAATAAACCGTTACCTGTGCAGTAACGTATCGTTGCAATTGAGTACACTAGGTGGCACTAGCGACACGGATACAATAAGCAAAACAATATGGACGTCAGTGACTCAAAACATGTCGCGCGTTGCGCTTCAGGGTGATAGAACAAGCTTAAACTGGTTTCTTTTTCACGTTTCGCGAGTGACATTAGGTTTCTTTGAATGTGCGAACGTTTTCGATCAGGAATCATCGTTTATTTTCGACGGAGTATCCGTAGAATGTCAGAAAATTGCGAATGCTAGGTGACAACTGCAAGTGGTCTGCTTTGGAGTAGTGAGAAGGGGTAAAAATACAGGGCCGCCTTTACGTGAGAGCAAACGGAGTACCGCGTCGGGGCGCCTATTGCCAGAGATGTTTCAACGATAAAGAAAACAGAAATTCGAAAAATGAATAAAGTATACCTAGATGTTAAATAATAAATCAGTTATTTTGGACTAACAATTATTAATTTTCCAAACTTAAAAACAAGGAAAATTATTTGTTGAAAAGTCTACGTATTATATTTTGTTCCAAAGGAGTTGCTTAAACCTCGAAAACTCAGGTTTCCTTTAAATTTCACCTTTAATATGTTTTAGAATGAGGCGTCTAAATCGGAAGTTGAATTTTCGCGCTGATACCTCTGGCGTCCAGCCTGGAGAGACACGTGGCGGCAGCACCGTACATTTAAAGAGAACATTTAAAGGGAAAGTACGAGAGAGAGAGGAGAGCTGAATGCTGTGATGAGACGAAGATAGGGCGATGAGAGTGAGATCATACCATATTGCCAGCGCCGCGGTGCGAGAAAGACCGGTGATTTCGTTCAACTACACACGGTAGTCGGTGTTTGGCCACGAGAGCGGGATAGTCGAGTTAGAGATGAAGAAGGATAACGGATAGCGAGAAGGAGGGCAGACTTGCGAGGGAGAGGCGACGAGTTTGTTTATCGCCTTGGTGAACGGCGAGAGCAGTCAGTGCGGTGCTACACTTGGCCTGTAGTGGTTGGGACGATTGGTGGTAGCTCGGTTCGTATGTTCGGTCTTGTTCTTTTGACAATTTGTACTTGGAAAAGTTGTGCGCGGGTGGCCACGTCGTGTGTTCCGCGTCGCGCACATGTCAGCGTCGGTTTAACATCGCCCGTAGACCCGGTGCCCTGAAGAGCATGCCGCTAACCATTGCCAAAACATAGTCGTTCAGTGTATCGTGTGCCAAAGATCGGTGACATTCGTGTCATACCCCAGCAAAGATCGTTTGGAATTTCACCAACATCGTGGGAAGAACCCGCATCGCCGTAATATTTAAAAGGTAAGCGTGGCTAACTTTCAGTAAACTTTTAGTCGTTGTTCGGTAATTACTCCAATCGTTGTAAGTCTGTATTGCCGAATAATAACCTCTTGTCACTTTTACATTAACGTCGCATTTCCATCCTAGGTATCGGTCTGTATATCTGGGTGATCGTTTTCACGGCTCTTTCTCGTGGCCTTTGTTTTAATCAGCTGACATCGCGTCCTCGTGTTCCTAGCGTCCCACGGACAGGCGAAATTCTACTCCAACATTACACGACGAATACGACTCGCGTTTAGAGATATATTTCGCGTTTGATTTCGATCGGACGGTGGGATTTTTGCATCCTCGTTAGTAAAATATATCATTGTGTAATAAAAATTTCAATTTTTATTCACAATGATTTATCTTTTATTCGTTATTTGAAATTGTAGTATTCCTGCTGTTTGAACCGAAGAGCATCGTTAGCGTGCAGACTTTTATGCATGCGAGTATTTTTGTTCTCGATGTACGTTTTGGAGGGCTTTTTGTTTTGGAGCACATTGCAAACAGAATGGGTTGTAATATTCTCTGCCTCTGCGTACATTCGCGTTGGCTTCTACATTGTTACAAAATTTTGAATATTGAGTTATGACTATATCGGCGCGATTATATCGTCGACAGTCGATGATGGAGTAGGGAGGAATCGACACAGTAGGCTCCACGTGTTTAAAACTCGCTTTGTCTCTTTGAACCTAGAATACCCTTTTAAATTAGTTGAGATGAGTATTCTGCGATAATGTCGTCGGGTTTTGTTTTTATTTGGTTAAGAATTTCGGTCGAGGCTGCTTTCTCCTCGTGAAATTTCTTGTTTCTGAATCGCTCGTGTATTGTTTCTGTGCCGGGTCACCTTTAACACGAGCTCGACGATGTTAAAGGAAAACATTTGCGGGAATTTCTCCGATGACGTGGAGGGGTCGTTGATCTCGATTCTTTCACTTTCATCGAAAATACACGCTGACCACGATTCGCATGCGAATCGTACACGAGCTCGTCGCTCGCAGTGTAGGAGAAAAAAGGCTGTGAAAGCAGCGAGCTGGCGTTGGCGTTTCGCATGGCAGCGCGTGTAATTTGGGCCAGCCGTGTGGCGTGCGAAAACTCATCGATACACGGCGTCCAACATACAGTGTCGGATGAAAGTATTGGAGCACGACGGGATATAAATGCTTATCGCTCCGAAACAAATCGAACTACAATTTTTCCCATAAAATTTCACGTATCCGCACCTCCGTGGCCAAACTACATCGCGTTTACATTTGGAAAATTCATGTTTTTCTACTCCAAGGAATTTGTTGTTTTTTTTTAGATTTTGGAGCCACGAATCGACTGTACGATTTCTTTCCAAAATTTCAATTTCGAGGTGGATGGTATAATTTTTCTGTGGATCGAAAATGTAGTAGATATTCGAACGGATAGAAAGATTTCTAGAACGTAATTACACAATTTTAATTGGACGACCAGAACCTTCAATTAGTATCGTAGCGAAAAATCAAGTTAGACCGCAAATTAAAGTAGGTGACCGTGTACATTGCCAATACTTTCGTAGCAGGTATGCGTGAAGGTTATCGATAATTCCAGCTTAAGGGTAACATGTAATGTAAACGTAAATATACATTTTTGGCAGAAAGATGTAGAATTAGCAACAAAATATTTGTTTTACGGCTGGTGAACCTACTCGAGAGCCAATTTGCACTTGCTGCCATGTAACACGTAACAAATAGGCAATTATTTTTCGAAAAAGCATGCTTGTCGACGATATAAATAATTAAATAAATAACGAACAATTCTCGGTTTTAAAAGAGTAAGTTTTATGTAGTAGTAAAAGTATAATCATATATGATAAATTGATCTCGCTTGAGTCATCTATTAATTCTAACGTTCGTCGTACGTGTACGTATACGTTTGTAACAGAAATATCATTCGCGTATGTCATTTAACAGTTCTTATGCAAAGTTAGCAATCGACATAATTGCATCGGCGATCGTCTCGTTCTTTCTCACGTAAATTTTTATGCGATTCGACTATTATTCGAGATTACGAGTTCGTTGGAAACATTCGCCAATCTCGAAAGGATTACAAAAATTTAAATAAATTAAACGTCACAGAAGAAGACGGAATTGTGGAAATAAGATATTCATTAATAATTCACGTTATAATTTATCATTTTATTTCCCTTCGCTTGGATCGTAGAATTTTCTGCTCTTCTTTACCGTAAGTCCTCTACTTACGCGGTTAATTGGTTTCACAGTATTTGGTACACAATTTTAATTTCAAAATACTCTGGTTTGCATCGATAAAACTTGTATTACTCGACTCTCTTTTCTAATCACTCGAACGGCTTCAATTAGAAATGGGGCAGCACCGAGGAGAACCTTGAAAGACATCTGTTGTTCGGAATTATAGCTGTACACGTCAAATTTACAGTGGTGGTCAACTGGTTGAAATAAATGTATCGCGTTTGGATGATAAATTAAAAGATACTGCGCACCGCAAACAGAGTAAAAGATAAATACGTGGGATAAAACGTACACGGATAAACCTGTCGCCAGCTGCATGATAAATTCCCTAACAACGAGGCAGTTTAAAAAATGATAAACAAGTGCATCGTACAAGGCAGCGGTCAACGTTCAAATAAAATGGTTACGACAAAGCAAATTGCGAGTAAGAATACATCAAAGAGTGTTACATTACGCAATGCAAAACGGAAAAGGAAGAAAAAAAAGAATCTTTAAAAGGACCGTTTGGTCAAAGACTGTGAAACTGACGGGTTCGTATTACCGCGAGCTTGGTTACGTGTAAAATAAAAAGTCCGCGAGGCACAACTATACCGTCGGTAGTAAAATCCAGCTGCCGCGTTAATTAACGGAGAAGAATTGGTCGCTTAACGCGCAGCTTTGGTTACAATATTTCCTATAATCTGTGGTAATTTCATATCAGACTTCGATCGGCTAGGTGTTTGGTTTAGGCACGTCTTATCGAGGTAACTTTTTTCTTTTTGATGGATACACGCTAAATTGCTCCGAGTTGCTCCGTAATTAGAACAGAAATATCGTGCAGCTGTTCCTCGTGGCTTACTTCACGCGACACTCTTGCATGTTACCCGCGTAATTGCAATCGACGCGGAGTTTTTATTCGGTCCCAGCATGCCTACAATAACTTTTTATCCACTGATTTGAACTTTCAAATTTGCACATTCTTGGAATCCCTTTCGGACACGCGACGATATCGAAGATCGTCCGATTAGAGAGAGAGAGAGAGCGATGGAATTGAATTAACCACACGTTAGATCGGCTTTATTGCGGTATTGTCCGTTACCGAGAATAACTTTATTTCCTTGCATCCGAGAACAAGAACCCCCGCCATTTTTCTTTGTTGATTCGACTAGCTGGAAGTTGTAGATTCGAAAGCTGCTGGCTGAACTTCAGAATGGCCTGGAAGCTCATTAAGAGAGTCGAAAAGGATCGATTTCTCTTACGTATCGACTCTTTTCGACCCTCTTAATAAGCTTAACGCCAAGTCCCGCCCAAACGGGATCACGGTTGTGGTTTCCGTGACCTTTGAATTCGACCAGTTCCGAGAACAGATGGCGATCGTTCGTAAATATCAATATTTCCAGCACGCGTTCATTAAGACTGTTTGTGTACTTTCTACTATTCCCTCGAGTTTTCACTCGTGATTCCGAAATATTCCGTTGCTTGTAACGAGTAAGGCGCGTGTTAAATTTATCGCACTTATCCGCAAGCATTGACCGTAAAACAGTTAGCCGTAAAATCCTTCTACAGTTTAATATCGCAGACCGTGTAAAATAGTGTATTTTCTTGTCGTTAGTATTACGAGCAATTGTAGCTTAAGTGCTATTTGCATAAAGCGTTGTTACGTAACGCATTGTAAGAACAGTTAGGAGAGTAGCTATTTTCTTTATTAGGGCCCGGTAGTTTCTCTTTTTAGAAATCTTCCGCGGAATGAAAAATACATTTCTTCACCGGTTCGAATTACTCTTTTCTATGTATGCTATTATTTTTGAGACATATTTGTTAGACAAAGGTTCGAAAATTGTCCGAAATTAAACTTCTAAAATTTCATAAAATTTCACACGCTACCTGGGAAACTGCTGGAGAGTGTTACGCTCTGTTTTCGGTGTTTAACTACCGATTCGCGGACGGGCGTACCATAAATTCCCGAAAAGACGTAATTACTGGATCCCATGTCCGCCGTACGTTGGCGAAAAGAAGGACGGGAAACACATCTTTCACGCGTCGTTTCAATTTCCCTGCTAAACTGTTGCGCGCAATAGCAATTTCGCGAGCGAATCCAGTTAACTCGAAGCCCTCGCGTGGAACTCGATCGGGGTTTCGCTCGTTTGGTAACTATCGACAATACGGGCTAGCGTCGACTTCTCCTTTTGGCCAGGACTCGCAGCTACTTGCCGAACTTCCGCGGATACACGCTCGCTCGAATAGAGTTCGCGATCGAAATTAGATCATCGATCGGTCGCCGCAGCGTTTCGTCGAGTGGCATCCGAATTCGAGGACAATCCCGTCAAATTCCGCCGATACAATCGCAATTCAAAACCGATTCTACTCGCGCGTTCGCTGGTGCATAGATAACGATCGTTCTTTGCTGGTGACTTGTTTGCGCGTAGTCGTGGATCTTCTTACGTAATCCCGCGTTGCATTCCCGTTTCTCTGATTGCTGTACTTCCCCGTACAACGAATGTACCGCACGTTTCGGTGTGACACCGTTCGATTTTAACGCGTCGCGCACGACCATCGTAACTTTGTAATATTTTATTCTGCAATCGGGCTTCCAACATGTCATCGGTACTGGAGTCTTTTTATCTTGGAATGCAGTTTCTTCGCGGAAAGAATATTCTCTCTGTATCGGTTCTTCGAGGAAATGGTTACGAAATACACGATAAATACAAGAAACCGTATGCTCGAACTTGCAATATTCTCTTCTCGACTGTTCCATAGTATCGGGACGAAATTGAAAGGCAACTTTTTTCCTCGAGGGCTACTCCATTTGCGAGTTATCAAGGTCATCGGTGTTTCTTTAAATAGATGATTCTAATAGTATTTCTGTCTGCCTGGGGAGCAGACGTCGCGATAGCGTACATGGAAATAGACTGCGAAGAAGCGCCTTCGTTCCGTATCACTGGACGGATAATTAACAGCTACGAGCGTAAATATAGTTGCACAGATTATTTAGAGTCTCGTCAGTGACTCCGACTATTGTGGTCAATTGATGATCTCTTTAGCGAAACGGACACATCGAGATCACGTACGTCTACTCGATCACGAAATAAATTTTGTCACGACGGAGCGAGTCTGTGAAAGAAATCGTAGACAAGTATGATCGACGGTTTGGAGTCGTCTGGAAGGAGCGCGGTTTTCTAAATTTCTTGAAATCCTGGACCGTGATATAATTGCTGGGGTTGAAATTTGAAGAACACGGAGAGGGTTGAGCTGTCCGAAGCCACGCGCGTTAACTGCAGTCTGGGTAACACGCGACCCGTGAACTGGTACGTGGTCGTGCAAAAGCAGAATACCGAGGGTCAATAGACCTCGTCCGTTCTCAACAACAGCTGCACGTGATCTTTCCAGTAGTTGTGCTAAACAGACCCCTATGACTCCGGTTTTGCGCGGCGAATAATCGATTCGACGCCATCCGCATCCCAAAAAATGGTGGTGGTGGTCTTCTTCGCGTCGGCGTCGTCGCGGAGAACGTTTTAAATTAAAGCCACGGGAATTTTTCGATTTTGTATTCGAACAGCGACGCTTAGACGTTCCACTTACCATGACTCGTTCGGTGTTTGCTCGTTGATCGACTCCAATCCCGTGAAAGTTCGCGGAGTCTAAGGAATTTCGTCGATGACTTTAATCTAGTTTTCGAAATCCTTTGGAACACGCTCTTTGCCTTTACGTGGCGAGAGAGACGAGGAGCATCGCGCGGAAGTTTTTGATTTTATTAAAAGTTTTCGTGCACGTTTTTCAAGGTTCTATACGAGGAAAATACAGGAGAAGGTTTCATCGGTTTTCAATCTTTGAGTCGGCATTTTCACCGAGTAATTGTCTCTGGTTCGTTGTAACACGATGGTTCAGCGATATCGCGAAATTCAATGGAAACAACACTGCCGAACGATACGTGGCTACCTCGAATCTGTCCATATTAATATTAGTTCTTGTGTAAATAAAATCTGCGTCTCTCTGCCGATAATAATATCGCGGTATATCCATATTATACATGTATTCCATATTTTTCACAATTAAAGTTCAGTCCTCCAGAACCCATTAGCTCGCGACACGTATTCGGAGAGGTAGGAAAATCCTCCCCGCGATAATTAGTATCACAACACCGCAAGGATCGTAGCTACGTCCTTCCGGTGTTGCGACTGGAATGTGCAGAAAAAGTAACTCGTGGTTTTCCCCGTTTCTTTTGGTTACAGATAAGGCGACCAAGGTGACCGAAATCTCGCAGTGCCGTTTCGAGCAGTCGCGTTTTAGCTTCGATTATTATCAGCCCCACCTTCTTCCCTTCCTTTTTCCATTCTCCGTTGAACCGATCCGAGACGATTCGCGGCGATGGTGTACGGAAAGTAAATGAAAATTCGCGGGACGCGTCGGATTTATCGGGAGACTTCGTTTAGTTTCGTTCGCGTCGTGTTCGCGTCGCGTTGATCCGCTCGGTAGGAAATAAATTAGAATCGCGTAACGGTGACGAACGCGCGCGATCGAGCACCGCGTCGGTAACAGTGTTATCAGAATATTCCTTGTCATTTCCCCGTCAACACGATGATCGTTAAAACGAGCTTGTTGTGCGTCCTGACGGTGATCGGTACCCTCGTGAAATCGGAACCGGGACCACGTCTGCGATCCACGCCAATCTACACCAATCAATTTGCGGTCCACGTGCCGGATGGACCGGATGCTGCCGCCGAGATCGCCTCCAAATATGGATTCGACAACTACGGACAGGTGAGTGAGAGACTCCGAGACTCCGATTAGGCTTAAGTCCGAGTTGATTTGACTGGTGCGCGGAGCTAGGTTGCAATTGGAATCGATCTGTTTCATACGTGTACTGCAAAACTGTTTTGTTTTCCGTATGTTAATTCACAATCCCTCTGTAAAGTTACCCGTCAACGTAACTACAGCGATTAGAGCGAATTTCCAAGGCTTTCAGTCGCGCGAAGTAAAACATTATTCAGGATTAGAAGTTCTTTGGAAGCTTGGAAAAGTCTCGAGAGCCTTAACAAGGCTCAACGAATTTAAGGATTGTTAAAGAGGACAGTGACGTTACACGAAAAATAACTGCGCGTAACAATTAATAATTTTATTCCGAGAGTTCTTAGAGACTCCGAAGTACTTGGAGACTTACAAATATGCTGAAACATTCGAGACTTTCGAGACTCTCGGAACTTCCAAGGACATTGAAATTCGTTAATCCTATTAAGTCTTTCAAGATTTTTCAAGACTTTCGAGAACTTCGGGTTCCGAATGGTATTGGGAACGGTTCTCGAAACTTTCGTTTCGCGTCGAAGGTGCCGAATCGTCGTAGTTCGTTATCTCCTTTACGAGTATGTATTCGAGATGTGAATTAAAAATCCAAGAGTATGCATCCGTGTGCAGCGATCGCATTTCCCGAGGAGTTACGCACGCTGTATACACTCGCGATAATTAAAAACGTCGCGATTAATTGACCATTCGTAGAAGTTTTCTCATTACCATCACCGCCGGGTCTCCGTAACCTAACAATTTGCAATTAAACGCGTAATTCGAGCACCGCACTCGCGCGCGTTAAATTCGCCGTATCGTTTTATCGCGGTAATCAGATTCATTATAAAACTTTTACAGTGATCGCCTCGGATTGACATAGTTTCCTAATGGGTCTCGGCGCGGTTTTACTTTCGCGTGATTCAAGTTTAATGTTCGCTCCATCGCGATACCGCGTATTACAGAAACTTCCAGGACATTGTAGCCATTTCACAGTCGCGAGTGTTTTTAATGGTCAGGTAGCGAGGGCACGATGCAGCTTCGATAAAAAAAAACAGTCCTTTCGAGATTGAACTCGCCGCCTTATCGTTGCGTTACGTCCCGCGAATCGCTGTAAAAATTACACGGCGGAACTAGTTAACGTTGGAATGAATAAAGGCTCAGAAACTACTTGCAATTATCGTTACACTAATTTGCTGCGTATCGAATAAGATCGTAAATTTCAGTTTTCCCGAGTATTAATTACAACAAAATTTTATCAGGACTTTGGCGAGATTTTTTTTCTATGGAAATGAGTCGAAACGCGGCCCCGTTTCGTCTAATTTGCATACCTCGAGCGATATCGCGAGAAACGCACGCCAAACACGTGTAATTAAAAGTAATCCGTGCGAAGTCGTGTTTGGTCTTGTTTTTATCGGACGAGCATTGCCAATCCAAAATTACTTTGCTAGCGAAATAGAATTAATTTTCATCCAGCCACGTTTGCACACGAGTTTCAACGAGGAGGACGAGCGGTACTCGTGCTATGTAGATCACGTGCAAACGTTACGATCCACTGATATGTCACTCAGAGTGTCTCTTTGTATGCAAAGTTGTGCAAACCAGAAAGCTTCCCCCGCAGTTCTTGAGATTTCGGACATTTTACGTGACTGTCTTCGAGAGTTATCCCGATGTTTGAGCAAGTTCGCGTTGTCTCGAACTTGTAAACGTTACGCAGAATGTCGAATCGGACATTCTCGTCAGACCGTAACGAAGGTCAAACTATCGTCCGCGTAAGTAGCGCAAAGTACCGAATGCAAAGTACCTACTAAGTCCATTCGATGGCCGTCACCGAGTCCGAAGTTTCTGAATGCTTAAAGGCCATTACGAGAACCGAAGTGTTCTTTCTCGTAGCTCGGGGAATTCTGCTTGCTCGTCCTCAACCTCCGTCAGTTTGATTTTCCCTGTTAAAGACCTCTGCTGCAGTGAAATTTATTAAAAGTTTCGGAGATGTATTGAAACTGTTAACAGCGCTATGCACATACTCGACCACTCTCAATCGAGAACGTTAACGAATACTATATGTAACTTAACTCGTAGACCGTCCAATTAGAGAGCAAAGACAATTTAATTACCTTGCTCCTGGGGAAGTGCTACGTTTGCTGTATACGTATCGTTTTACGAACACGCGCACTCTTACGGTCCACAAGTTGTAAAATATTCGTGCGCTTTACGAGTTCGTAAAGAGGCAGGAAGAAGTGCATCGAATTAAAAAATTCGTGCCTTTTACGAGTTCGTAACGAATGCACGAGATTGTAAAAAGTTGAAAATTTCTATATTTTACGAATTTATAACGAGAAAGTTGTAAAAGCGTACAAGTTTCTTTTTCCTTCGAGTGCTTTATATTTTAATATTTTTTTTTTTATCCAGAATGATTCGCCAAGATGACCTAATGGCGAGCACGAAGCCTACTGAAATTTTGACGGGAAATTTTCCTGCCATTTTTCTTTTACTACGCGTTACGTACTTGCCCCGTGGAAAGCAATAACATTTTTACCATCCATCCGAAATGGTCGCGTACAGTGGATCTCTGTAGTTTTTACACCGGCCACAGGGCTTCGCGTTTGCTGGCTTCGATGATCTCACGTTGAAAAAAAAAAAGAAATTTTTACAACCCTTCGAACGACGACACTCGCCCCCGACCGAACGGTTATCGCCACCTAAAAGTCATATGATTGTGTATCTATAAATCGTGTCTTTGTTGCAGAGGTTTCACGATCCGCGTTCGCGGTTCCAGGTTTTTGCGACGTATTTTCAACGTTGGTTGTTTATTCGTTCGCGGTTGTAGTTTCATGCGGTTCGATCGCGTGCACGAAAATTTCATCGTGTCAGCTATCAAGGGAAGTATCGCGTTCATCTCGCTAATTTTCAACCCTTCCGACGCCGCGGCGCGGCGTGGCATAAAACGCGCTGGAATTAAGTTCACTATGAATTGCGCACAATATTTGCCCTGACACCAGCGACGCGCAATCCTTCTCGAGCTAAGGAAAATAAAGAGTTCCAGAGTTTCTCTATTCGTTTTATCGTTCGTCGTTTAAATTTCACGGTTACGACAAACGAGCGCACTCTCGTTTCTTTCGTGTAGACTTTTGAGTTTCTCCTTAATATGATTTCGCGAGTCTGACGAACCTGCCGAATCGATTGGAGTTTGCGCACCACTGCTGTACGCTTTCTTCCTCCATTCATCAGCGAGAGCTTTTAAGGGAGGGTATTCATCCGGACATCATCTGCCAGTAGTTTTTCAGATGAAATCGCGAGAATGTGTGTACTTTCACGTAATTTTGGCTGGCGAATTCAACGGCGTAAAAATACATTCGAATGGAAATTTTTGTAGAAATATCTAGAACTGTTTTGCGAACGTATTTACGTCTTCTCCGGGTAGTCGCGAATCCATGGTCAAGGCTCTGCTCTAGAATGCTCAAATCGTTTCGTATTTAGTTGTCAGTTTGTTTTTTTCTAATGTTCGCTGAACGTTGCGGGGATTTAATTGTCGCGATAATAGTTCCGTCACCGAGCTGTAGACATTACATTTACGCTCACGCACTGCTTTTCGCGACCGTTGAGACGTCCAAAGAAATAAACGTTCTCCTCTGAAGCGACAGCGTTAACTCGAGAGGGGAGGGAAATAAAAGTGTCCCCTGTCGGGTTCGCGACGTTGAAGCCGTAGAAATTTAGAGTACTCGACCGTAAGCCACTCTTGAATCGTTTTTATATTTCAAGCCCGCGATGGCGCGAAAATCGTTCCCAGTGTCTCGTTGTGCTTTGCACGGTGCAATGAACAAGTTCCGTGTCAGAATTATAAGTCCGCCGCCTCAAAGGGCGCGGCTTACCGCGCCGAAGTTCGCGTAACTTTGTTTTCCTTGTTCCTCAGTCGCGGCAGCGACATTTCCGCGAAACTTTCCGCGTTTCTTCATGGATATCGTTCCGCGGGGAATTCGTCATTCGGAACGGGGGGCCGCGTTAGCTTGGAGCGAACCGCTGCGCGCTGGTTTCATGATCGAAATGAAAAATACCATCGGCATTTTTTCAAGAATACTTACTTCTCTCAGGTTACTCTAGCGATTCGGAACTCACTCGAATTTGTGGTTTATGGCGTTTTCTACGCGAAGGTGAGTGTGAGAAGAAATTAAGGGAGAAGGATCTTGACGAATTTTTTCACAATATTGTATGAAAAGGTAATGTTGAGACTCGAGCATCCTGCCTGCGTACCTAGCTAGGATGTTGAGCGTTTTCCACGATTTTCCCACGGCGTTTTGCTGTGTATCTTTCGTTTCCTTGGGTCGAAGCCGCGCACACTGCTGCGTCCACGTTTTCCCAGCGAGTGCTAAAGTTTTTATCTTAGCAGGGATGACGTACGAGCCGAGCTCTCTCTCTCCTCTTTTCACCGTATACGTACGCGGGTTTTATCGGCGCGATTCTTTTCTGCATCGGACCGCACCCTCGCCACAAGGGTGGGAGGATCGATGAACAAGGGTGGGATCTAGTGAAAAAGAGAGACACGTGGCGCGGGAAAACGTAGACGTGTCACGAGATAAAAGTTTATTACTAGTTTCTGGCAAGTACTGCTACCCCGTCGATGTACATCCGATGCATAGCGATCGTTGCAACCGCGGTGCACGGTTTGCATGTTCTCTTTGCTTTCGCAGTTTTTTTTCTACCTTGCTTCCACCTCCCTTAACCTAGCTAGCGAATAAATTCACGAATTAATCCGAGAAAGCGTTGAATGTAGCTTTTTTTCCCACACTGCGCGGTGTTTTGTTCGATCTTGTCACAATCGGCGAAAATTATCTTCGGATGATTCGACTCGGTTCTTAAAAATGAAGCGAACTCGCGTTTACTTTTGTAACAATTGAATACGGAGGCTCCGCGCGTACGTTTACATCGGTGCGTTCCCATCGTAAGTTGGCCTTTACGTATCAGCGTTTCCACTTTCTCCTAAGCGACGG